AGCACACACGTCAGCAGCGTACACCCATGGGCAAATAGTAGACGCTAAATTAACCATTCAGAGCGCGCGCTTTGCTTTAGTTATGTTATAATACTGCATAATTATACGAAAACTCTACAGTTTTATATGACCTTACCTTAAAATATTCTCCTGACTCTGGTCAGCAGCTGACCGAATAGAAGAACCTGGAAGCAAATCTTGGTTGAATTTGTACTGTTCGTTACCGGTCGCCGGTGATGCAAATCCTCAGCTACAGTGACCAAACGCGTGACAATTGAGAAATCAAAACTATTTTTTTGTTATCCCTAAAACTCAGTTAGCCCTTATCCCTATAATTATTTAGTCAGTTATCCCTTATCCCTAAAATTATTTTGCCAGATATCCCTTATCCCTAAAACCCCTAACAGGGCCTCAATACTAAGAGTAAATAGAGTATGACAAAACGAATATATAGATGATATAAGCAGGCTAGAGCTGGACATTTTTATAAGGAATTTTTTTTCTTTCCCAGTTTCGCAGAGTATTGGTCAACCTGGTAAGGTCTGGCTTTCCATCACTTTGTATCATTTTCCAGCTATTTAGGCTAGTGTCATTGGTGATGTTCTCAATATTCGTGGTAGACTGTACCTTGTACCATGATTCAACGAGTGTGGATTGTACCAACTTCACAGTTTACAATACTCCACCGTGCGATCCGTACTGCTGGAAGACTGTATGGCTGTCCTGCTCAATTTCAACGTCGATCGTCGGGATTTGTTTACTCAACAGGACACTGCTACCCGAGCTAAGACCCGTGGGGAACAAAGCAATATTGAAGTGTCTGGTCAGAAAGCCCTACTTCTGGTCCTTAAACACCATCATAGTTCTTGTGGTCCTCTACGATGTTTTAATCATGGCCCAAAACGAAAATGCTAAGATATATGTCGAGTGCCTTGTGATCCTTTCCAAACTGTGCACTGTATATCTGTTATACCAGTTGAATTTCACCTTCCCTCCCTGCAGGCAAAAGGATTTTCGACCTGTTTCCAGAGGTGCTTATTGCATTACGCTGTCCATTTTCGTCTTGGACAATCTTTGCAAGTTCTTAGTGTTGTCAGCTCAAGTTGCGTTTAAGTTTTATACAGTCAACCACAACAAGCCTAAACCACTGACAATCATCGACCTTATGTTGATGGTGATAAACGCTTCACTGTATCACAGTTTTCTTCAGTTCTTTTGGCACAAACTTTTCCGTGCTGATAAGGATATTTTGAAAGTGGTCAAGGAGAATTTCGTAGATACTACGGGGATAAGAGAGCACATACAGGATGGAAACCCAGTATGAAGCTTACACGACGTGCTTGATGCCAGTCTGCTATTTGGATAACACGTCTGTGCTGAAACTGATGCGCAACTAATGCAAGGAGTGCTCACATTTGTGAACATCTCTTTCCTACATTAGTCTTGTTAGGTTCCCTACATCAGCCTTCCAACCAGCTTCAAACTTTTGGTGATTTATTAAAAACTTGATGTAATGCACATATATGGGGTCTTTTATATAGAACGTTCATAAACAAGTTCAGAAAGTTTCTGCGGTTTCAAGAAAAATTTACAAAAACATTTTGGTAATTTGTATCTTGTGTTATCATTACACGGTCGAACCCCTATTAAGCGGCCACATTCAGGGAAATGGGAAATGGGCGCGGTTCGTGTGGTTGTGAATTGAATATGTTTCACCATCGGCCGGGTTAAAATGTAATCACGTCAAGACAATCATAATAAACATGTGTTTGAAGGTTTTATCGGTCGTCAAATTTTATTTTGGACTGTTATCTTTCATCGTCTTTACTTAACTGAAACAAAGCCAATTTCCACTACAAAGCCAAAGTGATGTTTAAACTTGCTTGAAATTTCAAAACAAAAATCGACTATTTCTCAGAAGAATTGACTGAGATATTACGTGGAAATTGGTGAGAATTTCTGTAGACTGCCGTGTATCTGCAACTGTATCGGGATTTTTAAAGACACTTCTCGGCTGTCGCGTATCTATGGACAACATTGGCCTTTTTGCAGTTGTCATCATCTAGTCTTTATGCATGCATGAATGACGTCCTGACGTCCACATATATATTCTAGAGTTACTATTATAGTTAGGAAAAATAATGTGAAGGATTTTTTTAGCGTCTCTTTGCCTATGAAACTGTTTTTATTTTTTTGTTATACGCTAATAGTCTTCACTTAATAGTCTGTATTACTTTCATTCTTGTGGTTCATATTGTTTGTTTTTTTGAAACAACTGTCATTGCGAGCACTTCACCTTTGATCGTCCTGCTTTGACTGGTGCCAAGCAAATTTAAGGAGAGCTGTCACGGAATGAACTGATTATATGAGAGGGAAATGACAGGATGTTTTTAATTACTGTTTATACTCATTCATAGCTTATATGTAATAACGTCTTGTTGGAGCAAACTAGTCCGTGCCCTCGATTCTAAACCTTCGAATTCCTCTTTCATGGTGATAACTATTCTTTTTGTTTTCAAAACCAAAATTCAAAACCAATTTGTCGAGTCATAAAGAGGCCGCAGAAGAAAGGCAAATAACTCTATCCTTCATCATTTTAGAACAACAAGCTTGTCTTAGCAGCTATTTTAAGGGTTGCATCAGAGACTTATGATTGGCAGTCCTGTAAGACCGTTGTCAAGTACAATTTCATTTCGTTCTCTGGAACAAAAGGTTTGTAATGTTATGTTATATTATGTTTACTTAGGGCCTTAGCGTTTTCTTTCAGTAAAAAGTATTTATATATCCGCTGGGCTAATAACACAACAGATCCATCATATTGCTGACAGACGTGAACTTTGTTGGTTTTTGAAGGCAAACGAACAGAAATGCTGGATGTGGTTAACGTTACAGGGTTACCGAACTGTTATTTTGGCTGGATAAGTCTGTTATTTCTCCTAGCAGCGCTTATTTACTGGTTCGGTATCTCGGGTTATGCCGTGACCAATCATGTACCTCTCCCGGGACCCAAACCTTGGCCTTATCTTGGAAACCTCTTGGATGCCTTCAAATATGGCGGTCTACACAAAGCGTTCCTGGAATACGGCAAGAGATATGGAAAAGTTTTCAAAATGTACATGGGGAGAGATGCTATTATTGCTGTTGCAGATCCGGAAATGCTGAAACACATACTTGTCACGGACTTTCATAAATTCAGAAACAGGCCAGAGTTTTTAGCTGGGAGAGCTCCTTTAAGCAAAGGTTTGTTTGGCGCTCGAGACGATGATTGGAAGCGCGTACGGTCCATTTTGACCCCAACCTTCAGCTCGTTTAAATTAAAGGAGCTCGTACCTATCATGGAAGAAGCCGCTGATATATTGCTGTCGAAGTTTGAAAACTTTGCAAAGGAAGGTAGGAGAAATAAATTCCAAGATAGGTTGGATAGATTACAAGCTTGTAAACATTCCAAGTTGTCCGTTGTCACGAGAGACGAACAATATAAATGTCAGTTAGGGACCAGCTAAAGTGTTCGCAATTCCATAATAGCTTGAGTCAGGTTTCCATGAATTTCTTTGTAGTTTCAGTCGGGGATGTAGCTTCGTTCCTTAAAGAGTGGGGTGTTCGCAAGACGAGAGTTGATTTTAATGCGTGACTTAGGTTAATTAACATTGCGTCATAACAGCGCCGGGCGCAGGTAACAGTAAACACAGGTTAAGCAACGTATCAGAACATTTTGCCTTCACTACACTACAGAATTCACTCAAAGGTTATGAGACATGGGTGCGTTGGTCAGCCAGGCCCAAGATATGTTTTAATTGACATAATAATGATACAACAAAGTGGATGGAAGATAGATCAAATAACATCCTACATACGCTAAGGTCGGACATGTAAACCCCCAAACATCTTATTAGAAAAAAGGGACCGTGTATCCCCCACCAAACACAAAACACAGAATGAAAGATAAATCGGATGACGCTATTTACATAACACTAGAACAGAAAAATAAACCTCATCCGATAGTGCTAGTGTTATTTTAGGTAACTATTTATACCTTTAGCTTTAAGAAAATGTAAAAAGGACTGTAAAATACTTAAAATTATTCTGGTACCAGATTTTTGTCCTCTAAAACCTGAAATTGCTTGTTCTTCTATCGGATTTCGTCTTATTTTATGTTATCATATGACTGTGTCTCACAAGGACGGGGAACTACCGAATTCATGAATTTGATTGGCTGAAATTGATATTGAAAGCGGTCTAGATTTTCCCATCTAGACCGGCATCTAGACCGGTAATTTTATGCGGCGAAAAAGTTGCAAACTAAAATGCAAAATCATTGACTTTTTTCTTCTAACAATATTTAATTATGAAAGTGCTAAAAAGCCTGATGAGAAAAAAAGTAAAGAGGACGAGCAAACTTTGGCAGAATTAAGCTCAGCTCATTGCTGTTCGCAAGCGAAACGTCAGTTAGTACAAACCAATGGCATTAAACGAATTAAATTGTTCTTGTTTGCCATATAATAAACATCTCATTAACCGAGCTTAGTCGGTCTGTATGGGAGAATCTTGACCTCGGTCGTGTGTATAGACCGAACGCAGTGAGGTCTGTATTCACGACCTCGGTCAAGATTCTCCCATACAGACCTACAGCTTGATTGATAAGAGCTGATTAATGCCGATAATGACAAATTTCATTTTTTGTTCAAAGTCTGGCGTGATTGTTACCATCTTGCCGGGGACTATAGAATAATTTTCTCAATCATGTAATAAGTAAATTAATTAACGTGATGTTTTTTTCTATATGTTTCAGAGAAAAGTGTCGACGTCAGCACACCCTTTGGTCAGTTCACTCTTGATATAATCCTATCGGCTGGTTTTGGTCTTAAAGCAGATGTCCAAACCAACCCGGCGGATCCAGACCTTGTGAAAAAGGCATTGAGCGTGTTCATAGTACCCGTGTACATCCGAGCTCTGACCATGTTTCCTTTCTATCGCCACCTGAAAAAGATCTTCGACTTAAATCCAATTCAGCATGTTCCGTACTTCGCGAAACTGGCTAGAGGTATTCTAGAACTCAGACGCAGTGGCTCGGTGGGACGGAGAGATCTTGTTCAGCTCATGTTAGAGGCCACAGAAGAGAGCAACAACGAAGTCAAAACACTGACAGATGAAGAAATTATAGCTCAGTGCATCACCTTCTTGGTGGCGGGCAGTGAAACAACCGGGTCTACACTGGCTCTTATTGCATACCATCTCGCTTATTACCCTGAGATACAAGAGAGACTTCTGCGTGAAATTGACGACGCTACAAAGTCGCGCGGTGATGTTTCAATCTACGAGTTTGTTCAGAGCCTTGAGTACCTTGACCGAGTTGTCTCCGAGGTTCTCCGTTTGTGCACGGTTGGTTATGTTAATGTCCGTGATTGCATGGAGACCTGTGTAATCAACGGCGTGGAATTCCCTGCTGGAGCCTGTGTTTATATTCTGTCGTATTGTGTCCATCGTGATCCTGATTACTGGCCAGAGGTAGGTTGTTGTTTCATTATTATTATTTTATTATATGGACACGAGTGTTTTACTCGTAAAATTTAGACAAAACTACACCCGGGACTAGAGTGGCGTATTTTCGATATCCTTACTACTGAAGATATCGATGAGTTCTTTGATCTCATGTTTGACTCAAGTACTTACCCTTAAATTGTACTTAAATGTATTGGTGTATGATCGAAATATCTTCGGATCTTTCTCAGAGGTCTTCGATGATCTTGGGAAATCTTCAGTAACCTTCGGAAATTTTCGGAAAATGTTCGCAAACGTTCTTGTAGCCTTTGTACAACTCTTGGAGAATCTTCGAAAATCTTCGGAAGGTGGTCGAAAATCTTCGGAAAATCGTCAAACACGTCGTTATTACAGGTCGTAATTAGTATGTTTATATAATAAACAAAATAATGAATGATTGCTTGTAGATTTCTCTTCTTGTGTTATCGTGAGATATCGAGCTGAACACTTGAAGAGAAATTCCATATCTACGCGCGCCCATGTATTGTTCTCTTTGTGCCAAACAGCTATATCTTAATCCATCAAGTCAACCTCTTCCCAATGGCTGGTTTCCAGTCCTTCGAAAGCGGTTGCCACAGATCAGAACATGCAGGGTGTCGTGGAAAAATAATCCATGGATCGGACTCTAGATCAAGTGGTCTGAGTTTGATCTCCGGCCGGAGTCTCCGGCTGTGTTTTCGAATAAGACACTTTGCTTCTACCACACCAGAGATATGGCGGACAAATCAGCAGTATCAATCAGGAAGTGCTGATTACTTGCGTTGGAATAACACCGACAGCATGACAGGAAACAGTACCTGGCTATCACTAGGTGCCACATAAACTTGGAACAATACCACACACACTCCACAGAGGAAAAAAAGCTTGGAAATGTTCTCTTTTGCTTAAGGCACAAAAATTAAATCAAGAGCCAAACCATGCTAATTAGAGAGTGCTTTTCTTTTGCAGCCTGAGAAATTCGATCCAGATCGCTTCCTTCCTGAAGTTGCCGAAAAGCGGCCAACCTTCTCTTACTTACCTTTTGGCCTGGGTCCTAAACAGTGCATTGGCATAAGAATGGCTCAACTTGAAATGAAGTTGGCGCTGGTTAAAATTCTGCGGAAAATGAAATTTGAGAGGGGATTGGGTACTACCGAAACCATCAAGTTGCACGCTTCCACCATTTTAGTGCCACGTGAGCCTATTTGTGTCAGGGTTGTGGCAAGATCTTCTCAAACCATGGCTACAGCATCAAAATGAGCCTGCAGAGTTCACTGTTCTGATTAATTGAAATTTGACTACATATACACTGTACTCACAGGGCGCTTTCCATTTCACCAAAATACACGGTTTGAATTTCCGTCAAGGCGAATAAAAGAGCATTTTGCGGAATTTCCCTAAAAGAGGACAACCTTGCGAGCTGTG